GCTCTCCGCCTTTGCCCCCTCCCCCTCTGTTTGAAGTGATTGTAATCAACGGTAAACAGCAAGCCGAGGGATAGAATTTTAGAGCTAACCGAACAGCGGGCGGTACACCATACCAGCCACGCCCACACGCCTGCCGCGCTTTCCGGCCGCCCTTTAATAGAGCGTGTGTGTGTGTCAGTGGGGTAGAAGATCTACCCCCTCAATGTACCAGGGGTACATTGCTTTGCCACTTGGAAATTTATGAGAAAAATCCCTTTCAACATCAGCGAAATTTCTTATTGTTTCATTCCTCCTCCTCGGCCATAAAGTATTTACTTCCGTTTCTTCCGCTTGTAGAATGAGAGCACAGCCCTCCAGCCCCTGCCCCTGCCCCTGCCCCCTCCTTGAGTTTTATTCAATCGAGATTTGAATATTTTTCTGAACCTGGAAATCTTTGATGGATTATGATTTATGGGCCACCGTTGCTGGGGCTGCTAACGGATAATTAAAACCGAAGCCCGAAAACCCGAAAACCGAAAACCGTTTACCCAGCAATACCGAGGGCCGCAGACGAACGGACATTAATCAATTATCTTTGAAAAGTAAACCAATAGATCGATGTGTGTAGTTTACACGGAGAGAAAAAAACACAACAAAATTATAATTATCAAACAGAGATTCAAGCAGTTTCAAACCTTTTCTGATACTTAAACTAAACCATTTTTATGCCCGGTACTCGAAGCTTTTTGGGATATATGACAGATTGTGGTGGATGTGCTTTCTCACTGTGTTTTTTCCCATCTCTCATGAGGATTACCAGAAAAGTTGAGGGAGATCGCGAAGAGAAACAGCGATACAAAAGGCTTCGCATAAGTCCGTACAAAATACATATGTACGCTCGTTTATGGAGCAATAGTGAAGGTTAGATGGTCTCTATAAATCCCTAATGCGTCACCTATCGACTCTAAAACTTCTCAAAATTAAAGAAGCGATCAAAATTTCATCGATTATCTTTAAATATTCGTTGAAATATCTGCCTTCTTAAAGGAAGTCAAAATTTTTTCCTAAATCCTTGAAATCTGCATCAAATATTTCTCTCAGTGCATCCTATGCGAGTGCTGTAATGATGTGTGGGCAGGCAACAATTAAACAAAAGACACGCGCTCTCCTCTCGCATGTAAATCATTTTCGTGCGCTTCCCCGCAAAAGGTTTTCCATTCAGCTCCCACCTTAAGCTCTCTCCCTCTCCCCTGCTCTCCTTCTCTTCTGCCCTCCCTCTCGCTTCACTGATTGATGGCCGTCTGTTTGAACCCGCGCCTTTTGTGCGTATAACCCTCCTCCTACCCTCCCAATATCCGAAACAATGCCAACTGTCGCTGTGGAAAATGATAACAATAACCCAACTGTCCGACCGCCCGGCTGTATCTTTGGGGGGGGGGACAATACTCCCAGAATAGTGGAGTTCAATTTTCATTAGTTAATTGGCATCGAATAACCGAAAATTTGCATTGAATAGGCAACAGCAGGCGGGCATTCAGAATGCAAAATAAAAATGCAGGAATTTGGGAGCCAAAGGGTATGAATTTTGGGACCAACAGAAGACAGAGATGGGGGAATGGAAGTCAGGAAAAGTGGGTAGATATTATACATTAAAATCCTTTAAAAAAGAATCGCAGAATCAATCAATTTCCTCACAGATTAATTCCAATCTTTAATCAATGCGAATTATGACTGAGGGTCTCTCCGGGGTCTGACCGATGGTTTAGTTGGGGCTAAGCTTTCATCAGTTAATTGGCATCAAATAACCGAGCACACATCAAAGTTGAAGCCAGCCCCATGCACCCACCCACCCCCTCACCCCCCGGGTCGCGACTCACTGCGTAATTAAACCTTGAGAAAATGCCAACAACCCCTATGACAAATCAGATTCCCCTGTTAATCTCAACGTTAAACAAACCCAAAAGCGAAACACGCAAAGATTTACGTGTAAGCGGCTTAGGCTCGTGAAACAAAAATAAATCTGCCAAGCCAAAGTCGGAGCTGAAGCTGAAGCTGAAGCCGTAGCTGAAGCCCTGATTGAAGCCCTCTTGGAGGTAAGTTGAGTCAATATCGGGCAATCCGGGGGCACATCTATCCAACGAAAAAAAAAACACCATGGAAACACCAGCACCAGCCGGCAATAACAACAAATAACGAGTTTTGCCCATGGTTTTTATTTGCTTTTCTTGCGAGATGCGATGTGGCACTGCCTGCGCTCTCCTGTAATTGTTTTCTGGAATTGTTGTTAAATGCAAAAACCATACAAAAATGAGTTGCATTCACAACGCTGCCATTTTCGCTGAGGCGCAGGAAATTTTAATTAATTTCCACAAACGCAATTCGAAGCCTGTGCCTCGGTTGCTCCAAGAAATATATATTCCCACTTACGATGTAAAGTCATACGTACTCGTATGTATACAGTGCGTTTCGGTGGGGTAACGACAGGCATTGACTAAGAAAGTATTTAACAAAAAACAGGAAAATTGTCATCATTATTTGAATAAATTAAAAGAAATATCAATACAGTACGAATGGCTATCGATGGAAAAATATTGAAGGCAAAGCTTACTACACGCTTATGTATCGTATATCCTGTTTTCTTAGGACTTTTCGATTTAAGTGGAGTAAAATAAACGATATATGAATTTATATCCATTCGAAATGTATATATGTACGTTGTAATTGTTTCCAATTAATCAAGAAACGTGCGAAATAGTAGAATAAAAAGAACAATTCAAAAAGGATAACGAAAATGTGCGTGTGAGCATGTTGCAATTGCCTGAATATCAATCACAAGAGGCAGGAACCGAATAAAATCCACCACGAAAATTGGAGCGGCGAAGGGTTCCGTAAAAATAAAAAAATAGTTCTTAAATATCGTAAGACATCAATTCAAAATGTGGCAAAAAATGTCTGAAAATTTCAGTTCTCATTTTACACCCCCTGAAAACTTACTGTGCCCTATATGTACTTTTGAAACGCACTGTATCTGCCATAAATACATGCACCATCATGCTGTATGCTGGATGCGTGGCTGCTGGATGACAGTTACGGGCTTAGTGCCTGGCTCAGGGGGATTACAACAGAGGAGTGACCCAACGCCAAGCCGACCAACGCATGTCGCTTGGATTTGCTGTTTAGCCTGTCGGTGTTAGCGGGTACTACTCGTACAGCGCGGGGGGATCTTGAGTCTCAAGCAGATTCTGTGCGAATTCCCATCAATCATTGTCCCAAAAGTTGTGTAAGCCAAAAGGCGGAAGTGTATTTAGCATTGAGGTCTACGATATTCATTTGTGTTTCAGATATCTGTAATACAGATTGATTATGGCGCTAATACAGCAGACTCCCACGGTTATTATAACGAAAGCGAAGAGTGTTTCGTGGGGAGATGTTGTGGGTTGTTTATAGGGAATATTTGTATCAAATTAGGAGGGAATTTCTCAAGAGATATTTGTAGTATTGAGATTCCTTCTCTTCTAATTGGATCTCTGTATCGTTTCGTGGCAACATTAACTCTTCCATCTCTTGAAAGGTAGTCCCTTAATGGTGCAAAAATGATGACGCATCAAGGAAATCCACCTTTCATTTTCCTCTTTTCCTTTGTTCCACCTTAAAGGTGCAGGCTGCCGCACACTCTCTCCAAAAAAGCGCCAGGCAGCGAAGTGCTCTTTAGAAAAAATTCAGCTGTAGAAAATAGAAACCGCATCACGTTCAGCTGCGGTTGAGATGTTGCATACTTTGTTGCATGCAGCACAGCACTCTCTCCAAATGATTGCGCCAATTTGAGGGACGGACGTTTGAGGGAAAGATGAAGAGTTTTCGGTTTCAATGGAAATATATGCAAATTTTCGCTCTCCTCTCCAAACCCCCCGCCCCTCGACCAATTAGTGAGAACATCTCAATGTCAAAAATGTCGACAAACTTTCACAACAAAACTTCAAATGAGACAAAGATACTTCCCTCCCTTTAGCCCCCCCTCTCCCTAGGGTATAGGTATCGTTTAGGTATATTTCATTTGAATGAGAAGTGAGCATAAATTACATTGGCGTATCAGCACAATGCCATCTAAATGCGAGTATATCTAGAGCGTAAAGAGCGACAGAGAGCGACAAACGGAAAAGGAAGTTAACAAAATAAGCCAGATAGAGAGATAGAGATATGCCGACAGAGGGACAGACGACCGACCGACCGACCGACAAGACAAAACCCTAAGCCCAATAAAAGAAAAGATAAATGTCGAAGCGACAGCAAATAAAATAATATAAAATGAGAATTCAACAAACAAAAGACGGAGAGACACAGAGACAGAGACGAAATTCAATACCAGCTGAAGCTGAAGATGAAGAAATTATTCCCGACTTCCCCTGGCTACTGCCTTCCAAGAGTAATAATTTCTGTTGTTCCTGTTGTTGTTGTTGCTGTTGTTCTCTTCTCTTTTTTGCCCATGGATCGCATTTGGATCGTATCGGATCGCATTTCACCTTCTTCTCTTTCAGGTGTCACCGATAGGGATCTCTTAATGCCCACAGAGAGCGCCGTCGCCGTCGCCGTCGCCGTCAGCGTCAACGACAGCACAGCGGAAGGGCAGCAAAGACAAAGCAACAACTTTACAGGTTCTCTTTATCTGTCTCTCTCCTTTTTACACTATCGCGCCTCGTTCTTTCTCTTTCGCACTTACACCCTGGTCTGGGGTCTGGTCCGGTGCTGCTGCCGTGTGGTCCGAAAAATTCTCATTAAAGCGAAATATTCACATAATCCCGCATTTATTTGATATGCGATAATAAACGTAAAGAAAACGAGAAAAAAAGGACCAACGAAAATAAAATAAAAACTGAAATAAGCACAACAAATGTATTCCTGTATTTCGTTCTGTTTTTTTTTTCATCTGCTGCTTACTGGCAGAATAGTTTTTGGGAATATTTTTTCTCAATTCTCATTACTTACTTTATTTTTTTTTTTGCATTTCGCAAATTGACGTTGAATGGCAGGCGAAATACTCGTATGATTAAAAGTTGGATACGGGAAATGTGTGGAATTAATTTGATTAAAACGAAGCAGGTACCTGAAAATAAAGAAAAGGAATAAATAATGTCATTAAATTAGCATAAATATTGTGTAGTACGAAATTTTGTATAATAAATAACATTAAATGTGAATTAGAGAATGAATAATGATGAAGTGCTGCTGAAACATGCATTTTATCGTGTTATTGAAATGAAACTACGCATACATATGCATACAATATGGCTAAAATATTTTTGCTTAAATATTCAAAGCTATTTTCATTGTATTTGCTTTGAATTTATGCCTACAGGTGTTAAATAGTTATAAAAAGGTTTTTGATTCGTTTTTACACCTTATAAATATTGAATGAGAGAAATATTCTATATTGAAAGAGTGTTTCTTTTGTAAATGAAAATATTTGAACAATTTTAGGCTTGCAAAACGTACATGCAGGAATACAGAAATACATGCATTTCAGGAATTCAACACGTTTAATGGTTTCTGTGGTTTGTTGTGTAACATGTTTAAATATTAGTTTGCATAGGAAATATAAAAAGAATTTTGGTTGTTTCGAAGCACATTCACTTAACCTTTCAGCTTCTGGAGTCTCATTTGTGGGTAAAATATTGTAAGATTCCGAAGCACACGATAAAATGTCTCCACTGGGATCCCGAATTGTATCACACACTAGTACGAAAAGCTCAGATAAAACGCAAGAGCGCGATGACGTATAGAAGATAAAAGCAGAGCGTAAGCTTAAGCGGGAGAGAGCTTAAAAGAGGAGAGAGAAGAGTCATAAAAGCAAACAATTGTGCATTGGCATATATTTACTTTACTTATCAATACGAAATTATATGTTTCTCTGCTCCGAACAATAATAATATTCATTCCTGTATACACACATACTTATATATGTAAAAATGTACATACATATGTAATCCCATCAACTCGGCGCATTAGATTTCATCACAATCGAAGCTTTTGTATTTAAAACCCACTTTGATGGGAGCTTAGCATTCGCGAGTGCTTCCGAATTGCGTTCTTCGTTCGATCACTCCGAAAGCTTCCCCTTTTTCGTTCCCTCTGATTCTTCACTCGAGAGGGAGTTCTCGTATAACTCTTGACGTTTGTTGACTCTTTTTATCAAGCTTTTGGCACGCGAATAGCTCAATGAATGTGAATACCCTCATATAAATGGGTCACGTCTCCCAATCAGTTCCACCCAGAAACAGCTGCTTCCCCAACTCCAGTGTGACGCCAGAGCCGAGGCCTAATCTACAGCGAACTTGAAAATACAGAGAAATGCGATGTAATCTGAAACGGATGCACGTCGTCTGGTGAAGGAGGAGAGGGCGTAGGAGTAGGAGAGGGAGCAGGGGTAGCGGGGACTTTCCAATGGAGAAATTGCCCTCGAAATAAAGTGAGAATTACTCAGCGCAATTATGCAGCTCATTGCCCTTGAGTTATGGCTTATGCTCTTCCCGTTTATGTTGTTGTTGTTGCTGCATGCGGCATATGCAACCTTTAGGCAGAGAGGTAACCATACCAGACCATGCCACACCATTCGTGGAGAATGCACACACATGTGCAACGCGGGGCACGGCACGCACGAAGGTTCCCCGTTTATTAAATGTTTTGTTAGAGATGGTAACGTGAAGGGCTTTAGGAGCAGGTTTGATTCGATATTTCGATAGTTTTTCATAGGTAAAACCTGTATAGCTAATATCGGAGAAGGTTTAAGGGATAGTTGATTGAGTTTTCTAACAAAAATTGATCAGAAATCGGCTATATGCCTTCTCTGGGGTTAATGGAATACTTCAGTTCTTATAATAATTCAATTATATTCAATATTTTGTATGTTTTTGAAAGGGATATTGCGTCAAATATCCAGAGATGATGATTTTAGATTGTTATAGATCGTATGGTGTAGTAGGGCCACATGTTTTTCAGAACCTATTCCACCTCGAACTCGAATTCCTCTTCCTTCCTCTGGCACCCTATGACCCTCCCTTGCACGCTACCATCTCTAAGCCTCTCACTATTTATAGAAAAATTCATTTATTACACACGAGTTTAGGGTTTTTTTTTAGAGCCACATGTGAGGGGCATGTCCGCAGTGTCGCGTTCTGGTTCTCATTCGGAGCGGATCGTGCAACGTGGATAGCAGGGCATGCGCAACGGCTGTGCTATGCCTGTGGCTGTGCTCTTGTTTCAATAGGCCGAACCCACATTTGCTGTCACATCAGGTATCCCATAGAATCGAATCCATCTGTGGCGGAGTGTCAGGGCCGCCTTCTTAATGGAAATTGTCATCGCGACACAAAGGAGAAAAAAGTTCAAACTTTATTGAACTTTTCGGTGGTATTGAAATCCAACAAATCCAACATTAGCTTTGTGTTCTACTCGAAAATATCTGCTGAATCATCACACTTCCATGTAATTTTAGGGCAACCAACCCAGAGATGATGATGATCATGTCCGATTGATGATGATGATGTCCAGAGGAGAGCTCGTATGTTTTAATTAGAATATCGTGAGTTGTTTGGCTTTCGATCATATGGCAAACAATACTCTCGTATCTGTATACCCGTTTATGTGTGCTTTACCCGTGGGTGGCCATTCCCAATGACTTGGCACAAAACATAAAGTAAACTGAAAACCGAAAACCGAAAACAACAGCAGAATATCTCGTTGAAGTCTTTCGAGGAGTTGCCATAATTATTATTCTCTCCGCGGACTCCAGAACTTGTCCGCATTTAATAAAGTAATCAAATCCGTTCCTGAGAATGGAGATTTCGGAATGGAGTGAGAATTCCGTGTATTGCGGGAAAAACGGGTCTCTTCTGAAGTTCTAATTAGTGGGATATTTTGAGGAAATTAACTTCAGATCAGACCTTCAAAAGCTGCCTGCTTTTTGCCTTTACGATTAATCATTTTCTTAATATATATTCAAAAATTAGCCAAAATTCTTCGACCCAAAAAATTCCATGTGAAAATCTGCTCCCATTGCAACAATCCCACCCATAGAAAACCTTGTAGAAAACCTGTTGCCCGAAAATGCCAAAAATGTTGCCAAGCGTCCTGCAACATGTGTCTAGCCACGCACGTGGGTGGCACGAAACGAAATGGAAACGAAACAAGTTCCACACACCATCGGGCTTCGGGTTTCTGTTCGGTTTTGTGTTCGTTTGGCGTACGATTTGGACAAGTTTGGTACCCTGGAGGTGGAGGGAGAAGGAGGAGGTATGTGTCCATGTCCATGTCCATGGTCAGGTCTCTCCCGCTGGCTTAAAGAGTATTTCAGGTGAGGGTGCGGGTGGTGGCTCCTCAGTCTCCGTCTCAGTTGACTTCATTACCGGGGGACACTTGAAACGAGGAGGCGACAAACAGCGTAGGGACAAACGTCGAGTGCGGTGCCGCCTAATGACACACAGCAGATACGAGGTACTTCAAACTCTTCTTCATACGATCTCTGGGTCGCCTCCCCCCTCCTTTTCGGGGGACCCTGTGTGTGTGTGTGCGTGATAATGATACGTACGACCTGGCACTGTTGACACCCAAAGCATCCTTTAAGCCTCCAGCGTCCAGAGCCTCCAATGGCGTGTCAAAACGAGGTGTTAGAAGAGGATTGCACATGCAACACGGCTCTGGCTGGCTGCCTGTCATTTCTGTCTGGTCTGCGATTCCCATTGCGTGTCTGCGTCCTTCGCTTATCGCCGTATTTGGGCTTAAAAGGTGTTAAAACTGCCAAATGCTCAGCTATCGCCAAGGGGACACTGTCCTTGGCTCAATGTTGCATAAATACACAGGATTTCATTTAAAGTTTGGGTACAAATTTCAACTGGTTTAAACACAGGCCAGAAGTGAATTTTTAGCTTGTGCAAAGTACATTCCAAAGTTTCAGATAGATAAATACAAAAGGAATAGATGTACTTGATACAGATGATAGTATAATGGATGTACATAGATACATATTGGGATATATCTCCCAAACGGGGGAGGCACTCCTCCCAAGGACATGGAGCACTAACATCCGCTTGATTCCTTCGTCCCAAATTCGAGTACGAGCCAGATATTGAATATTACGCTCATTCGAAAGTACTGATTGGTACTTTAGACAAAGAATGTCACAATTTCCATGCGCTCGAATGTAAACATGCAACTTTATATACATTAATAGGTAGAAAGATTGAAAGAGACAATTATATACAACTCATAGATACAAGATCTAGGAAAAGATACAAGTAATATTGATAAAAACACTCCCTTGAAACCCGCGAAAAATACTAAGTCTTCAAAGTCACCTTAGCTCTAAGTTGACGAAATTTCAAAAGCAGAACCATCCAAGAACAATCTTTCAGATGCTTTACGTATCTTAGGGTCTGCTCTATTGCACACCTGAAAGGCACCCCAAAAGAATTCCCTATGGGGGGGCACATGGCAGCCCCCTCAAAAAACCATAATTCAATAAATAAAATTCCGATTATAATTACTGAATAACTCACTCAAAAGTTGCTCCTGTGGTATGCCACAACCCCAAACCCCGAAAGACACGCTGCCAGTAAATGGAAATATGGCTCGAGAATGCAGCACTCGGTGGCTGCTATCGTGGGTAATTAATAAGCCATGGCAATGGCAATTTTTTCCACTAATCGTTGCAACAAATTGCGGCATGTGTGCAGCACACTTTGCACAAAGGAGAGACGGGCGAAGCGGTGCATTTCGATTACAAATTGCAAATGAACGCAAATCGATTAAGTTGTTTGCTCTGCGGCTCCTCATTCGATGGCGAAAGGGGGGGAAAAACCATAGAGAGGGGGAAAATATGAAATGATCATGCAAATATTAGAGGGGGTACGGTCGGGGGGGACTGGTGTGTGGCAGTGGCAGGTTGGGTTGCACGTGCTGAAAGACAACACATTAGCTTTGTTCTACGGAGTGAAAGTATCTTTTAGCTTCACTGCTTCAGTGCTTCGGTGCTTCAGTGCTCTTTCATGCCTCTTCCCCTTACGCCTCCCCTCCCCTCTACACCCAAGTCCAAGGCGGCTGTCTGGCAGC